AGGGAAACAAGAAACTGCAGAAATCTTTCTTGGTCTTCTCTCATCTTCTGTCTCTTTTCTTCACATTTCCACCCTGCCACCAGCAATGCAAGAGGAGGCTTTAAAGCTGGTTCTACTGGCTCTGGAAGATGGATCTGCATTGTCACGAAAAGTCTTGGTTCTCTTTGTGGTTCAGAGGCTGGAGCCGCGATTTCCTCAGGCTTCTAAAACTAGCATTGGGCATGTTGTCCAGCTTCTTTACAGAGCCTCGTGCTTCAAGGTATGGAGAAGATTCTGCTTGGAGATTTCATAATGCTGTGAAAACTATTGTTTTTCATTTTCAATTTTCATTGTCCTGTAACATTAAATGTGCCTAAAAATATGTGTAGTTATAGAAAGTATTACTCATTAAGTCCCACATGTGTTTGGAGAGTTCTTTGTCGTACAGCTATGATGGCAATGTAGGCTGAAATTGCAACTTCAAGCTGTAAAGCTAGGTTTTGACTCTGTCCAGGTTTAATAGATGCACAGTAACAAAACTTGTATGTAAATCAGCATAACTTACCTCCTTAGAAGAGGCTTAAAGCTGGAAAATCCCCATTTCTATTAATTGAGTGGTGGTGTGGTTAGAAACAAAGAAATATGAGGCTCTTGGATATCAGAGTTGTATGAAGAGAACTTAAGCTGCTTATTGTACTTCACAGTATTTAATGGTCCATTCCTAGGTGCTCAACTTAAATGTCATTCACTTTCGCTAAATGAGGAGAAAAATACTTCGTTGTTGCTAATTGCACCCTCAAACAAAATTCTGCAATACAAACAAAATACCTTGATTGGAGAAGTAAGGTGTGGATGCTGTAATGTCATTTAGGAAGTGTGATGCTTCCACCAATATCTGGGTCAGAGTCTGAGTAAATTTATGTTTGGTATCCATTTCACAGTGGTTCCAGTTTATGAAGAGTGTGCTATTTTAGTAGGAACTAGTGTTCACTGCGTGGTATCATAGTTCAGTTTAGTTTAGAAGGAAGAACTTTAGTTGTTGACTGAAGATTTCACTTGCCTTGGATGTTACATAATCTCTGGTTTATCCTGCTTAATTGTATTTGGCTCATTTCTCCTCACTAGGTGACAAAGCGAGATGAGGATTCCTCCCTGATGCAACTGAAGGAGGAATTTCGGACTTATGAAGCTCTGAGAAGGGAACATGACTCCCAGATAGTTCAAATTGCTATGGAAGCAGGTTTACGCATTGCACCAGATCAGTGGTCCTCACTGTTATACGGAGACCAATCTCACAAATCCCACATGCAGTCTATCATTGACAAGGTAAAGCCACCTAAAATCAGCCTAGTCTATCTTGTTTGCAACTGTAGTAGATTTAAATACTTGTAACATGAATTTACAAATTGTGCCCATGTGTACTCACCTTACCCATTAATCATTTGCCCTGTTATTTCAAAACCCGCTATGGCCTAAATAATTAGAATATATATTTGTAACTTAATGAATCTTGCTCCCTCTGCCATCTCTTTCTACTTTACCTCTTTCTGCAGATGGGAAGCCACAAAGATTAGCTGCACAGCTGGGATGTGTCCTTTCTGAACAGCTAATAACTGCCAATGTAGTAACAGAAGTTAATGGTTCATGTTTCCAGGCAGGAAGCTAGTGCATAAGTTGAAAGAAAATCAGTCCCCTAGTCTATACCTGAAGTAAGTAAGAGAGGTGGAAGCACATTTCTTAAATAAAATGACTTGACTTCTGGAAATGCCCAGATCTCTTTTGTTTAGAGGGAACATAGGATAAATGGGCTTTTAAATTAGGGGACTCACATGTAAGTGCCTAAATTAGGTGGGATTGTTGAATGGTTACAAAAGCTGTGAAACGATCGCTTTGGCTGCAGTGCAGGAGGATTAGCTTAAAGATTGGTCTGTTGTGTATTTATACATTTGCCCACCTTTTCAGGTATCCTGCCAGACATCTCCTGAAGAACCTAGGTAGACTTAAAGGTTTTTAAATACTGAAATTGTGTGATGTTAGTAAATAGAACGTTGCTAGCTATCTTTATCCTTCAACCATCTTGCTCTTTATTGTCTGCTGTACTCAGTTTAAAGCCGGGTGCAAACCTGTTAGTTCAGGGATTGGAGATACTAGAGTCTTCATAAATCTAAATTAAATGGCTTCTAATATTCTGTATTTTTTTCTGAGTGCCAGTGCAACACAGAAAAGAAATAGATTACATTGCTAGAAATAATACCAGCCTTCATTTTGTCTATTTAGAGCTGTATTTTAACCTGCAGTGTCAAAGAATTGTGCGTTCTTAATGCCAGAGAAGGAATTCGATAGAAGGTGCTGAAATGGGCTTGTGCGAAAAACATATTACTCCAGTTTTGGAAGACAGCTCTTGTGAGCTTGTGGAGCAACCTTCAGAAACCATGAGGATTGTTTTGCCTGTAAAAAGTTAATTATTATAATTTTTTTAAGTTGCAGACCCCAGCCTCATTTGCACAGAGTGTTCAGGAATTAACTATTGCTCTTCAGAGGACTGGAGATCCAGCTAACCTGAATCGTCTTCGACCTCACCTAGAGCTCCTGGCAAATATTGATCCCAGTCCAGGTAAGTCTAGATGTTTTATAAAAACCTTTAACTCACAGTTTAGCAAGAGGAACTTCACACTGTTGAAGGGTTGAAAGCTGTTCATCAAGTGGAAGGAAACATCCTCTAACTCTTAAACTTAAGATTCTTGACTGGTATTCATAACCAGCCTGGGAACAGCAGTAATCTGTGTGAGGAACTGAACTATTCTGAAGCTAAAATAGATTCAAAAGTATGGCAGGAATAATTTCACCACTTTTCTGAAGAGACCTTCCTTGTTTGACAGTACTGGGTGAGCATGGATGAGGATGTTGAATACATATAATCCTGTGAGGTTACATGGTGTATACTTGATATTGGGCAATGCTAACAGGGGGGAGTGGCAGCAGTCCTTCCTCCTTTTCCCTTTTTTAGTACACGTGCTGCTATTTGAAACCAGATTTGCAAAGCAACAGGAAGATTGATAGAACCACTATGCTTAATGCAGAGCTTTAGCTGTCACTCTGTCGTGGTTTAACCTCAGTTGGCAACTGAGCACCATGCAGCTGCTTGCTTGCTTGCTCACTTCC